TATAAACCCTGTATGGACAGTTAAGTAAGGTGTTTTAGACCTGTATTGAAATATTTAATAAAAAATCTCAATAACGAATATTTTCAATTGTTGTACCAACATTAAGTTATTGGAAATCTCAGAAACTGTCAAGATACAGGGTATTGCTACAGAAAAGTTTCATGTGCTAGTCGAATATTTTTATTTAATCCTCTAGGAATCATTCCAAGGAAGAATTTAAGTTTTTTTCACCAATACACATTAAATATTGAGGTACTTGGACTATTTCAATAATAAAAATTGTATAATAATATTTGATAAGAGATCCAGTAACAAGTAATTTTCTGTTTTTTGTTATTCATCCTCCAAATTTCGCAAACAGCCTTAAAACATCGTTCTAATCACTTTTTGCGTTTCCATATCTAAATTTTCGAACTTGCCGCCACAAAAGTGATCACGTTACCAATGTCAAAATGTACTTTTAGGTTATCGGACATGCAGGATCGATCGCATATAAGAAAAAATTCCATATCCTACAAATAAAAAATTTCCCCATATGTAGCGAACATTATGGGGGACACTGTATAAGTGAAAAATATAATTAATATTGTTATATTGATATAAATTATACTGTGCGTTCGTAATTTAGCAGATAAAAACAATAAAAGAGTGAAAATTTTTCGAAAAACCTCAGACATCAATTTTAATTTAGGGTAACATATTTTTCACTATTTGTATAGTTGTAGAACATCGAAAAATCCAAAAAGAAGCTCACGTTTCACATTTTTAAATAACACACTGTATATTACCTATTTTTTTTTTTTTTGTTTGTAAAATAACAAGGAATTTAATAATAAATATTACATGCCATGGAAGATCCATGGAATGGGTATAGAGATAAATGATAGGTGCCTGTTTACTCTTCAGTTTGCAGATGATCAAGTCAAAGTGGCCATTGACAAAGAGGGCATGCAATATATGATTAGAAAGCTGATAGAAGAGTACTAAGAATGGGACCTGAGAGCTAATTTAAATAAAACAAAATATCTATGTGTAGGCACCCAGAACGGAAACTTGGAAGTGGACGATGGTCAGGAAATTCTGCAATGTCAAGAATATGAATATCCAGGTATCAAATTCGACAACATCGGAACAGACATGAAAGAAATAGAAAAGCGAATAGTTAAAGCTAAAAAAGTAATCTGTCCAGCCGGGTAAGTAACACCCGATAAAGAAACTCTCCGTTGCGATATCGGGTGTTACATTCAAAATTGCGAACGTGAGCCAAATGGGTGTTACTTACCTCCATGCGAGAATGGAAAATAAATGAAACAGCTTCTTGATCGGTTATAAGTTTAAAATGACGTCCTAAAAGCTAATGTCTCCATTTCCGCAAAGCTTCAATAATAGCAGAAGCTTCTTTTTCTATTGATGAGTGTCCTCATGACCTCGTTCACTTTCAAATGAATTTTTTGAAAAAAACGCTACTGGTTTTCCGACTTTGCTAAGTGTAGCAGCAATGGCGAAACTAGACGCATCAGTTTCAGCTACCAGGATATTTGTCTCATTAGACCAGATGAGAGGATTAGCTATATCAACTTTGATATTTTCAAAATCTTTTGTCACTTTCTGAGGTATCGCAAGAATTTTGCAGTTTATCAAGCTCTGTATTTTGTCAGAAAAATTTTATATTATCCATTTTGAATGTTGGGAAAACATGGCAAATCCTCGACGTAAAAAGGCCGCATCTTGTGGTACCGGTAGACTGAGTAGTAGCTTTAGTCTATCCGGATCGGGTTTAAGAGTGTTATTTTCAATTCTACAACCTAGCATATTTATTGATCTTGATGAAAAAGTGCACTTTTCTTTATTTAGTGTCAAATTGTATTTCTCAACCGCTCGCATGAAGTTCTAAAGATTTAAGTCATGCTTTTCTTGATGCATTCCACAAATTGTCACGTCATCCAAATAAGCAAATACACCTTTCAAGCGGTCTTTCTCAATTATATTTGTCAATAACCCTTTGAAAGCCAGATACTCCTTTCGTTACTCCAAAAGGGACATGACGAAACTGATAAAGTCGTCCATCTGCTTCGAATGCTGTAAAAGGTTTGTCATCATTATGTATTGAAGATTTGAAATTTTGCGACTTTGGAAACGATGGTCTCAATATTAGGTAATGGATATGCGATATGTATACTGTATACTTATTAACAGTTTGAGAATAGTCCACTATCATTCTACGTTTATGATTTTCGTTTCTTGTAACCAAAACTTGAGCACGCCAAGGTGAAGTACTGCTTTCAATAATTTCTTCTTGACGTAGTCTGTTTACTTACGCCTTAATGAAGGACTGATCTTCTTCTGAATGATGAGACTTTGTAGCAATTGATTTATAATCTTCTGATAAATTAGAAAATTTTGAAATAGGTTCTACTTTAGCTAGAATAAGGCAGCAAATTGATGAAGTAGGTTTTGACCCACCAAAGAACATATCAACTCGATCATGTTGTTTCATCACATCGTTTCCAATAATAACATCAGTACACAGTTTTGGCAGGACAGAAAGCTTTAAATTAGGATAGCTATAATCGAATACTTGGAAATTAACCAAACAAAACCCTTTTATATCAGAAGAACAAGAAGTTGAAGCCATACAAACTGGGCCAAAGAATGGATAAATTTGAAGATAATTTTTAAGAGCAAACTCATAATCTAAGAAACTCTCAGAGCTACCAGTATCAATATGAGATTTAGCTGGAATACAGTTGATTTTTGATTCTACCTCTACTAAAGCTTTGAATAAGCACTTGGGAAATGAAGCTGAAGCGATAATTGAAGCAGAGGCTGTAGTCGATTTACTTTTAGGTTTTTTTTTTATACATACTTGCAAGAAATGACGTGATTTCTTACAATATGAACACACTTGATCTCTAGCGGGACAGATGGTTCGTGTATACCTGTTATATCCACAAAAATAGCATTTCTGCGATGTATTGCCAACTGCAGCAGACGATACCTACTTCTTGTATATTCTCATCGACAATTTTGGAATTTATCACGTTCAATACTTGGTAGTTAGCACCATGATTCAGAGTGTTTTCTAGCATCTCTCTAGCAACAGTTTCATTTAGTGTTGATACATTTCTTTTGAGAAGACGTTGTCGTATTTCGTTTGACATTAGTTCATTAATAAAAGAATCTCTAATGAAATTATTCTTATTTTCTTCTGTAGTCACTGCTTTAAAATTACATTCTTTGCTTATTTATTATTCTTAAAGTTTGTAAATACTGGTCGATGTTTTCACTAACCTACTGTTTTCTTGAAGCAAGTAAATGTCTAGCGTAAACTTGTGCTGCTTAACGCAAAGTCCGTCGACTTTAATCTGATACTCCAAAGGAATGTGAGCTGGTGGCTCTCTACGTTAGAACGCTAATGGTTACCTGACATCACACCTGTTTTTGCGTGGTTTTTGCCATATGCTTCACCCCCTCGCTCCTCATACGGAAAGTATCGGATTAAAAACGACGGACAACAGAGCCTGGAGTATTTGGACAGCAGTTGCGTAGGTTGGGCAGTCGTTAATGAACTCATAAACGGAATATGAAATAAAATTGATCAATAATTGAAGCTTCTCCTTATCTTCTCTGGCTTCCAATAAGTCCATAAAGTTTTCACAAGTTACGAACTACTTGCGAACGCAATAAATGAAAATAGTCCTAATACAACCAAAAAATATAGGGGACACGTATTCGTTAAGAAGGAAGGCCAATTCAAAATGTTTCAATTACTATTGAAAAAAAGTCCAATAGGCGCCTTGCATGCAAATAGTCCATTCTTACTTAACACCTACTCGTGTGCAAAAATGTTCTGCGACATACGCGTCATATCTAAAAGTAAGAACCTTACATGGAACCACCTACATAACATTGTTGTCAGATCACTGCAGATATATCCTACCATTTCAGCATTTAGGTAGTTCAGAGAGTGTGTTCCCAATACAAGCACACAACCTTGCAATCAAAGTAACTTTTAGATTATTGTTGAAAAATATGACTATCTTTTGAAACCACAAAAAAAGTCAGTATTTGTGCTGTAGGTAGATTTTTTTTTATAATTTAACTATAAAAACCTCTAAACGATTTTGATGAAAATATAATTATTGGTCTGTACTTCAAAAATACTTTAAGCCATTACAGGTGTGATCGGCGGTAGGTAACTCATTCAGATCAAAAGCCTGTTTTCATGGTTTAGAATCTTATTCTTCAGTCTATAGAGTTCTTAGTCAATGGGTAGTTGAATAAGCTGGATGGAGGGTCTCTATTCTTTTGCATAAAATGAATCATGAAAGCCGAATTTGTTGATGAAACCCAGGTTCAGCATGGTCTATATTTTAAATTTTACGTTAAGTTATATAGTTTCTGATGTGATGATTCCAGCTCTTGTAAAGAATTGATGGTTCTTCAAGAATTTTATTATTTATAATTTCCGCCAAGGCATGGTGTATTTTCTACGAGAATCTTCAACTCTCTGAAGCTTGATTGGTAAATCTTTCGGAGTTTTGTTCATCTGGTTCTACAGCCAGTGCATTTTTGTTCCTATACAGTCTTCATAAAAAAAGGTTCTTTTCCAAAGTTACTTTTTGCTTTTTGTTCATATATCTAGTCACATTTTCTTGCCTGTCTATGATCTTAAAGGAACGGAGAATGCTTCTCCTCACTAGATAACCCCTGGCAAGACCATGTCAAAATAGATTTCAATAATTTGGTTACCAATAACATCTTCTATTATTCAACGAATACACATCAGCTAACGGAGTCGGCCAATACTGCCTCCAATTACCCCGAACTTTTATCGCTTCTTCCGAGATGTCACATTTGGTGTGGAGTCACGTGTGGATATAAACCTTCGAGATCCCGAATTAAACAGGTTTAATTATTTTTTTCTGAAAATTCAAAGAAGAAGGCAACACCGTCCAACCCATGCAACCAATTTATTGGTCGGCGCAGCTTTTGCTTTCAACCTCGGCCTGGCGCTCTCTGGGTATACGATAATCAACCCAACCAAGACCCAACCAAAAGCAGACTTAGACCAGTCGAAGTCACGACAAAGAACTAAAGAAGTCGGCTCTGGCGCGGTGGTGGTGCATTCAACTCGTTTTTCAATTTTTCGCGCAGCATGCTTAATTCAACATCAAATCGAAGCTTAATAAACAGAGCATTTTCCTTAAGAGGACTACGCGCGTGAATATGGACATCAGCCGAAAGGATAATAATTTCGAGAAACGGGGTATAAAAATTTTAAAAAATTATCATTTAAGTCGCGCTTATGTTTGTTTAGTAAGCGACGAGTGAATGCGTTTTTACCTGCTGTGATATTTTTGTTTGTTTTTCAAGTGTGTTTCCGGATAATTATTAAGGATTTAATTTAGATATTTATTTATACAATGAAGGTAAGATTTCCGTTTTATAGACAGGATTTCCCTTTTTTTTTCCTTCCTACAGTCTTTCAAATAGATATTTTAAGTAAAGGTCTCAAAATGAAATGCTTGAAAATAAACAATAGGTACTCAACTAGTCAGACAACCAGTACAAAATATACGAGAAAATATAGGTACCTACCCTTCAATGAACAAAACAACAATAATAAGGAACAACGCATCATTTTTTCCTGTTCGAGAAATAAGTTAGATTTTAACTGAGGTCAATTTTCTTGTGGTGAATTCGAAATGGACCGTCAGCTCACTAAACTTGAGTTAAAGTCACTAATTTCTTGTGTTTTTAAAATAGTATACAATGTATATAGTACGACCTATCGGAGGTGTTTTTTTTTTAAACATTGTTTTCGCCTTAACGTTGGACTGATTAAGATTCGAGGAAACTTAACACATTTTTTCTAAAGACAGGTACTTAATTACCTAACTTTGCAGCTTAATAAAATTTGAAAAAGCAACGATTTCCGCGGTGGTGGTGAGATGTGTTGGAATCGAAGAGACTTTTCCCACTCGCCACTTCACCTTACGGATTACGGAAATGCGAGAACATTAGAAAAATGAGAAAAAAAGTACAAATGTCAAAATACGAAAAACTTCAACCGACAGCAACGTTGTTACTGAAGAAATAACGATAAACGCAAATCCAATGCTATTTATTCCTGCGTAATTAAAGGAATCTAACTACTAAAGTAAAGGGATAATCATCATTCCAATATTACGCATGCGCACAAAATGGTAAGCCTTTTGATTGCGAGACGAGACGAGAATACGCTCTCTCTCTCGTTCTGTCTCGACGGTTCCAGGGAAAATTAGTCTCTCGTCTCGACCCTCGATACGAGACGAGAGAGCACTTCTCTCGTCTCGTCTTGTTCTCCCTCGTCTCTCGAGAGTTATGACGCATAGAAAATTAATTTCGTCTCCGAGTCAAGAAAATGCAAAAAATGTACCTAGTCTCGCTCCTTAACTAAAATGTAATATTACTCATAAAACCCAAGGTTCTGGAATATATTGAAATTTTCCAGTAGTGTGGTGTGGTTGGTTGATTTAAGGCGGAGTCAGTCATGCTCGTGTTCCGATTTGCACTGCAGCCTTAAAGCATCAGAGTTTAAAATATCTTCAACATTATTCAAGATTGGGTACCTACATATTATTCTAATGTCTGATATAAATGTTTTCCTTTTCTCGAATATACGCAGCATCTTTGAATTTTGATTTAAACTGAGCAATATAGTCTGATCAAATGGTGTTCAAAAGTGCCTGTTTCGTACCATGAGTCCGGTAGAAGGTTTCTCAGCGGAATTAAATGTTTTTCGGGGTGCTGCATACGAATCTGAAGTTTGCTGTTCCGTAGCAATACCGGCTCAGGTCGGAAAGCGCGAAAAACCTCGAAATTTCCGGACTTTTTCCGATTTTCTGGTCATATCTTGCAAACGACGCATCGTGCGGAAAATGTCACGCTATTCAAAGTTGAAGAGCATAAAATTCTGCGTCGAATGATTACCCTAACCTTGTTACTGTCAAATTTATAGGCACGCCATTGTCAGCCGAAAAAAGCCAATTTTAATGAACTTTTGTGAAAACTGCAATAAACTTACTTACGAAGGTGAGTAAAATGAAATAGACATTGCTATCAGGTATTCTCCATAGAGCATATCTCCACATTATACTACAACTTACTTGCTCTTTTTTTTCAGCTGACTATATGGTCTTCCTATGATTTTTCCTACGATATGTAGGTACATAAAGTCTGTTTTTTTTTTTAAGATAAAAGTCAAAATTACATTATGTTGGCAATACAATGTAAAACTGTCAATGTTTCCAGTTTTTTTATGTAGAAAACGCTTGTGTTGCCAACATAGTTACTGAATTTTTAATTTGGGGAATTATCTTTAAAAAAAAACAGACTTTATTATAGTCTGTGTTTTTTTAAAGATAAAAGTCAAAATGACATTATGTTGGCAATACAATGTAAAATTGTCAATGCTTTCAAATTTTTTATGCAGAAAAGGCTTGTGTTGCCTACATAGTTACTAAATTTTTGACTTGTGGAATTATCTTTAAATAAAAAACAAACTTTATGTATGTACATATTCTCTCATTTTGTTAATCTATATGTAATAAATGAGTAAATATTTTTTTTTTGTAAATGGGTACTGATTGTTGGAGATCTCAGGACTGCATATTTTTCTCTGTTGGATTCACACATTACTTATGGAATTGCATTTTGGGGTTGTTGCAGTACTACAAATTTCAACTCCTATTTATTTTACAAAAAAGCCCTTAGGTTTATGCTTAGAGTTCCCTTCCGACAATCTTGCAAACCTAGCTTTATTTCTCATCGAATGTTGACTGTGCCCTGCTTGGGTACCTATTATATTCGAAAGTGTTTACCTGGTCTATAGGAAATACTATGAGCAACTTTGGTTGATTTGAAATCAATGTCGTCTAAAAGTAAGTTTATTGCAGTTTTAACAAAAGTTCATTAAAATTGGCTTTTTCCGACTGACGATGGCAAGCTTATAAATTCAACAATAACAAGGTTAGGAAAGTTATTCGACGTAGAATTTTATGCTTTTCAACTTTGAATACCGTGACATTTTCCGAATGATGCGTCGTTTGCAAGATATGACCAGAAAACCAGAAAAAGTTCGAAAATTTCGAGGTCTTTTGCGATTTTCGGCTTGAGCCGGTTCTACTACGGGGCAGCAAACTTCAGATTCGTATTCAGCACCCCAAAAATTCCGTTGAGAAACTCTCTACGGCACTCATGCCACCAAAAAATTACCATTTGATTGGACTAATATCCGGTTGGGACGTTTCTCCTCTTTGTGTCGTTCTGTGTTCTGTGTCTGATATCACTGGACACTGAGTGGTCATTTCGTTTCTCCGATATATGTTTCTTCACAATCCGTTTTTGAGTTGAATACTGGTTCTTACGTTGGATTTCCTTCTAATTTTCTGCTAGATCTTTGACATATGAAATGTTAAGTGTTTGGCCCCACATTAGAGGTAACATAACCTAAAAATTAGTGTATTTTCGAAATTTCGCCGACTAGCCCTCCTAAATCCTTCGAAAAATTGTTTCCAATTGAAATATAATTCACTTCCTAGGATAGTATATGTATACTAGGGTCAAAATACCCTCGTATTGTGCCGTTGTAGGACGTCAAAACAATGCCGCCAAATATACAGTATGGCAATGCAGTATGAACGTAAATAAATGTCTTTTTAAACTATTGAATAGCATATCAAACAAAAATATAACTGAAACACCGAAAAAATATCAAAAGAAGAAAGCATGACACTCCAACTCCATATAAACAAATGGGATAAGGTTAGGTTTTGTCTTACCTCCAGTGTCAATTTAATGACGTCACGTGCACGAAACCAGCTAGTTGTTCTAAGTTCTATTTTTTTCATTCCTGGATTCGATATACCAAGAGACCTTTTATTCCGTATACCTTTTCCTGTTTTTTGGCATCAATTTATATTGAATTGAAAGACGAAAACGTGTTGGCTAAAGATGGGCAAATTTGATTCACTTCCATTTCAAACCAATTCATGCAAATCTTGGCTTTGAAAGGTGAGTCCATAGACAATCCGTCCCTTCTTTCTAGATTTAGGAAACTTTGGTTAAGGCATCATTGGAATAGTTTTATGACTCCTCATCTAGTATGGAAGTTCTGTCTTCTACCATGTTGTCAATTTCAAGCTTTTCTTGATGAAATGTATATGGTTGTCGTAAGTGCGACATTTGCGCAGAGGTTAGGTCTAAAGCTACTCTGTGTCTCTGGGAGGTTCTCTTCGGTAGTTGGGATTAGACGATTTGATATCCCGGCAAGTATCTTTCCTGCAACAAAAAGTGAAGATATTCCTCTGTGGTTTCAACATTGAGCCTTGTCTCTCTTTTTAAAATGACAGCCATGGAGGCATCTCTAAGTTCGGCAGGTATATGATCTCGGTAATCCATATACTATACATACATACATACACCATACACTTATGCTCTTAATGGGTTTGGGCACTTAGTGCGGGGCTTCATTGTTTTAAAAAATCAGCAGGAATGCAATCAGTACCAGCTGACCTATTGTTCTTTAGATGTCCAATTACCTCCCCTAATATGGGAACCTCGTTGTATTGGTTTTTGTATGAAATTTCGTTGAAGATGTCATTATTAATTTGCGATTCTCTGTTAAGTAGTTTCCTAAAGTGTTCCTTCCAACGAGAATTAATAGAAAAACTGTCTTTAAGTAGTCTTGCGCTATTTTTGGATCGTAAGGGATTGATTCCTTGAAGAGTTGGTCTGTATACCATCTTAGTCTTCTTCTTCTTGTGCTCTGTGCAAACGCGCACGTTGGCGATCTATAGTCGTATGCTTGTGCTATTTGGAGGGTGCAATCTTCAGGTTGGCGGAATATTGTGGCGGCATCTCTTATTCCGCACCAGTCCCTTATGTTCCGAAGCCACGAGTGTTGATTTCTACCCGGGCCTCGTTTACCTTCTATCTTCCCTCGCAAGATCAACTTTGGAATGGAAAATCTCGCACCTCTGATAATATGACCAAGATAGGATATCTTTCGTGCCATAACGATTCCACGCAGCTCTCTTTGAACTCCAGCTATTCTCAACACCTCTTCGTTGCTTTTGCGGGCAGTCCATGGAATGCGAAGAAGCCTGCGAAGGATCCACATTTCAAACGCCTTTATACGGTTCAGGATCCTTACTTTTATTGACCATGTCTCTGCACCATATAGCAGGATGGGCCACACGTAACACTTGACAACCCGAAGACATAGTTCCATTGGGAGAGTACGGGCAAGCAGAACATTTTTCAACTTCATAAATGTAGTCTTAGCCTGTCCAATTCGTATTTTAACTTCTTCATCGCAGTCCTATTTTTGGTCAAGGGTGGCACCCAGATAAACAAAACGCGACACCTGATTCAAGTCCCTTCCGTCAACTCTAATCACAAAGCATATGTTGTCGAGTAATAGCCATAACTTTCGTTTTAGATGAGTTGATTGTCAGTCCAAACTGTTTACCTACTTGGTTTACTCTGTCTACAAGCTGTTGAAGGTCTTCAGGTGAATGCGCTAGTAGGGCAGTATCATCTGCATATTTAATATTATTAATCGAAATTCCGTTGACTTTAATTCCTCTATTATCTTCTTGAAAAGCCAGCTCAAATATCTTTTCCGCATAAATATTAAATAAAATTGGTGACAGGATGCTTCCCTGGCGAACCCCTTTAGATATACAAAATGTATCAGTAGTGATTTTGTTGTTGATTCTTACCTCGGCAGTCTGTTGTCAATAAAGATGTTGGATTATACGGATATCCCTAGAGTCTGTGTCAATCTCTTACAACCTTGCTAAAAGAAAATCGTGCTTAATGTTATCAAAAGCTTTTTGATAGTCTATAAAACAAATAAACATATCTTGCTTATATTGCTAATTATAACATTTCTGGACAAGTAGTTTCATATAGAAGAGTCCTCCCTAGTGCGTAGGCCCTTTTTAAAACCAAACTGGGTTTCTCCGCACATTGCTTCGCACTTATTATGTATTTGGGCATGGATAACTCGGAGAAAGACTTCAAGAGCGTGACTCATTACTTATCAGCCTGTAGTCTGCACAGTTTCTGAGGGCACTTTTTTAGGGATGGGTACACAAAGGTAGACTTGAGCCAATCTGATGGAATTTTACCTGTCTCATAGATTTTGTTGCATAGATATGTCAGGATTTTTGTATCTAGCGTCTTCAGAACCTCAGCATGTACCTACATTGTCATGACTAGGACTTTTTCGATTTTTCATGTTCCTGATAGCTTGTTGAACTTCACTCTCCAGTATGTTTAACCTAGTTAGTTGTTCTGTTGAGCTGAAGAAGTCTTGCAAGTTGCGCTGATCAGGAAAAAGCGTTTCCGCGTACTGTTTCCATTCATTGCGCAGGTCATCTGGATTAACAATGAGTTCTCCATTTTCGTTTCTAAGAGATGGGATTGATGATTCTTTGATAGAGCCAGTATTTGCTTTATCTTTCGATAAAAGTTGACTGAGTCATGTAGCTCATGGAGTCTCTCAGCCTCCTCACATTTTGCAATGATCCATTGTTCTCTGGCTTCTTTACATTTTCGTTTTATTTTCCGACGTAGTTCAGTATACAGACAGTTGAGATAGTTTTGCAAGTCGCTGTTTTTCCATTACATCAAGAATTTCATCCGTCATCCATGGTCTAATCTTGACGCGTTGCTGCTGGCCTAAGACACCAGGCATCTTGAAGATTTTCTTTAACGTTGTTCCAAATGTCTTCAGGGTTGTCTTTGCTTCTTGGGTCATTGGCATTGCATTGTCGGTTCAGTTCCAGTCTCATGTTCTCCTTAATGTCTGTCTTGTTAAAGTTCTGAACATTGAGTTTAAAATTGGCTATTATAAGGTTATGATCAGATCTAATATCAGCTCCCGGATATGCGGCCACATGATACTATTCTGATATCTGTGGTTTATCAGAATATAGTCAATCTGATTTCTGACTATGTGGTCATGATTGTCTTAGTAGCCTGAAAGAAGGCTCCGGTGCTGTTGGAGTTGTAGTAGTGTTTTGTCAGTAGTTTTTTTTAGAGTTCTATCTACTTTTGAGTCATATGTTACTACTTAGTTAGTAATATATTTTCAATTTATTTCATCATCCTAAACTTTCTAAGTGCTACCTCTTTTTTCCTGGATATAAGCAGCAATAACAGGGAATGAATAGAAACAAACATAAAGTCAAGAACAACATTGGTTCAAAAGAAAACTCAAAGAGACTGCTGATATTCAAAGAAACGAAAACATTGTCAGTAAATCATTGGTTGACATGAAAAGTGTATAGAAATGGAGTTCACCATGAAAGTGCCTAATTCTAGGAAGATTCCTATCATCCATGATTTTGTCGAATCAATTAATGCCCTTTTCTAGGAAATTAATTTCCTTATCAGTAAATATGCTCGAAGAAAATTGTCATTTTCTTGAAAACTATAACTGAAGATACATAAAGATAGTTGTGTGTAAAAAACAAACCGAGACAATGGAGATTCAAACTCCTTTCTATTTTTTAACTGTAACATAACCCATACCATCTCATCTTCAAACAAATTATTTATTCTTCAACGCATCAGTTCTTGACCACCAGATTATCAGATTACCAAAAGTAGACATAACATAACGGCTCCTCAACTACCTGTATTAAAAATTCCCGTTAGTCAATCAATAAAAATCAGATATATATCTCGATCTAATCAAAATTCGGAAAGAGTTCGGAGCTTTTAAACAATCATACCAGAATAATTGTTTTTTTTTTTAATACCGACCAATTTTGCAACTGTTGCAAAATGATGCAATTTTCGTCTGACGCTTTCGTCAAGGCTGTGGCTGGGGTACGACCCAGATGACTGCGTACTAGATACTTTCTTTTTTTTGCCTATAGGGCAAAGGAAATGATTATTGATCTATGGTTTTTGTTCAAACATGTGTAATTTGAACAGCGTTATTTAAGAACTAGAAAACTTTCCCTTGTTGTTGCGACCAAATTTGTACGCCAAGTATAATTGCTGACTACCATTTAGAGATATGAACTTATAAGTAATGTATTTGCAATAAAGTAAAATACCTCTAAAGACTGATGGTCTCACTTAAATGTTAGAAGTAATAGCATAAATAGCTACTGGAATCCAAATGGATTATCCATTATCATCTTCAATAATGGGATATGTGAAAGGAAGAATTTGCTTCCCATTTCTTGCCTCGGTCATAATCAGTTGATACACTGAAATCTGATGGACTTAGACTTGTCATTGAAATTTGATGAAATTTCAAGATAGTAGCTGGAGTGTTGAATCTTTTAACGCACCTTCTTCCTATCATGCATTCGTTCATTCTCAAACTCACCTCAACATAATTTTTTGGGAATATTTTTCATTTTTGTCTCTATCTTTTTATATATGTACTAATATCCACCATGTATTATGAAAACTATTTAATTTTTCAGGGTACCCTAAGACTGAATCACATTCTTCCTAAAGCATTAGTAAGCATGGCACCGCTGCAAGTGATTTTAGCCGCATTTCTGTTGGTAAGTAGCTATTTCCAAGTAACTTTATCTTTGATCTTTTATTTAATAGTAACATGGTTAAAAAAAACCCGAAGTAAAAGTGCCATAAACTCATTCACGCCAATAAGAGGTCGATACTTAAAATTTTGAAAGAAGACACTTAAGGACTACGTAAATTACAACCGAGAAATTCGTGGGTTGTCCCAAGACATAAACCATGGGTTGTTTTCGTAAATAATCTCGTTTAAAGGTAAACTTATAAGGAGACAACCTTGGGCATACCCATATTAACACTGCAGACGTTTAGCATCGTGACGTAACAGATCCTGATGGTCACCTTGAATTCACAAATTGTTTGTAGGCTGAAGAAATTTCAATAACAATAATTATTTTAAAAAAACAAAAGTTTTAATTCAAAGGATCTTCTGTGAGATAAATGATCCATTATTTAATTGTACCTACTTATATAACTTTTTTTATTTTTTCTTTGGATTGGTAGAGTCCATGTAAAATACAATGCGCATGCGATCTGTAGAAAAATATTCTCGGGGACAGCAACTTAACTGAGGGCAACCCTTATATTAGACTTCCTTATTTAAATTTGGATTTATCAAAAGGTACCTAAATGTAATGTAAATTTTTGTGTAAATTTAATCATATTTTGGGCACAAAAATGTACTTGCAGTAGAGTGTAGGTACACGTACACCTCTACACTCACCTCATTTTATTTATTTTTGAATTTATTATCAAATTTAGTTATTTTTAATTTATTTTTCAGGTTTCCTCTGTGAAATCAGCCAATTTGCCTTCGCGTAAGTAGTTTATTTTGTATTTTAAATTCAAGTAAATAGTAGGTAATTTAGGTAAACAAAACTCCAAATTTTCAAATCCTATCTTGACTTTTCTATTTAAGTTTAATGTTTTGACCGTTATACCTAACTTGATTCATACCTCATCAATATGACCAACACAACGGTTTCCTTTAATGTTGGATAACTTTAAATTATTATTCTTAATCATTATTATGTGCTACTGTTATTTAATATAATTCATTATTAATATCTAACTGTGAATAATTTATGAATTTAATTAAAGTTTGCATTGTAAAATTTATTAAGTAACATTCGAACTACCTACCTTACAAAATGCACTTATCGTCATAATAATATAAAAAACGCATAGTCACAGATGTAATGGTACTAATGGCCGTTTCCACTAACTAATTTAGGGAAGCCCTACCGATAAGTATTCCCTAAACTGACATTTCTCCGTGGAAAGCTGTCATTTTAGGGAATACTTATCGTTAAGGTTCCCCTAAATTAGTTGGTGGAAACGGCCATAAATAGCATGTCAGTAGGGAGTGACCACAGAATGCTGAGAACGACGGTGTCATTAAACTTGAGAGCCGAACGCAGAAAATTTATAAATAAAAATAACAACAGGAACCAATATAGATGATGCTGAGGGATATCGAAAATTTTAGATACAAATCTGAAAGACCCTGATTCAATAAACATCAAAGATCTGAATAGAAATATTATGGAGTCGATAGCTGAAACTAAACACAGCTCGAAATCTTTAGCAAAAGAAGGAAAACTGACTTTAAATACTAAATACCAAATAATTAATGAAACAGAGGAGAAAATTACTGGGAGAATACCCACAAAACAAGGACGAGCTAAAACAACTAAATAAGGATATTACGAAAGCTGCGATAGCTGACATTAGAAAATTTAATAATAAATGGGTCACCAAGGTCACCTTGGTGACCCATTCCAAGGTCATAGAAGAAAATAAAAGCATGAGGGTACTACGAAATAAACTAAGCACAGGAAAGGCCGAAACGAAATACCCAAATTAGAAAATGAAAGAGAATAAGTAACAAACAACAAAAAGGAAATAATAAAGATTGTTGTAATAAAGAGACTTCTATACAAATCTCTATAGTAACAAAGGCCAGAGAGAAACACCGGAAAATTTACCTCATATATTAAATCAGGGATCAGAAGAAATGCCACCGATAAGCGAAGAAGAGGTCTCAAGGTCACTTTCAGAAATGAAAAACAACAAAGCACCGGACGAGGATGGTGTTGTCGCAGAGGCTGTGAAACTAGGAGGAAAAAAGTTACTAAACTCGTTAATAAATATCTTGACGAAGCAACAACCCCTGACATGTAGACCAATGCCATCATCATTATTATGCATAAGAAAGGCATCACAGACTTGCAAAACTACAGACCGATTAGTTTGCTCACACATCTATATAAACTATTCACCGAGATCATTATTGCATGTCTTACTGATAAATTAGAATCATATCAGCCAAGAGAACAAGCGGGCTTTCGGGCTGGATACGGAACAAACGATCACCTTCAGGTAATAAATAGTCATTAATAGAAAAAAGTGTAGAATATAACAAACCCTTGGTGCCAACGTTTGTGGACTATGAAAAGGCGTTCGATTCCGTAGACCACCATACGCATTGTTCAAAGCTCTTCCCAACTCTCGTATAGACCACCATACTACTGCGACACATATATAAACACGCAACAGCAAAAGTAAGATTGCATGATGAAACAAACCAGTTTAAAGGGGATACGATCTCTCCCAAACTTTTTACCACTCTGCTTGAGTATATGTTTAAAAAGATAGAACCTCATTTTTTAGAACGTAGCCGGTGCGTTTTTCAGACCAAAGGGCATGCGGAAGAATAATTCATAATTCCCGGATTCTTTGCTAAAGGCAGTTTTTTCAATGTCGTTCTAGTGTAAGCCGTTAGCTAAATCTGAAGTGTTGAAATACTGGCAGCATCCAAGCTGATCCAAGAGATCCGTTATCTTTTGTATAGGGTTCCCTAAAATCACAAACTACACTCAGTGCATCCCAGTGGTGTCGGCCTTTAACGGGGTGAATTACTTGGTATAATTTTGGTGGTATTTCCCTTCTCCGTCAAAGTAGAAAAGTCTAATTTGGGATATTTTTCATCAGAACTATGCAAGTCAATTTGTTATATTAAAATTTTCTACAGATATGAGACAAGCAATGGTTGTGGCAACTCATTCAATAATTCCTAAAGTCACCAAATCGATAAGGGAAAATGCATATCATCTTGTTGGAAATACTATTAATAATCTAATAGGGGAATAAACGTAAATGGCGAAAAACTGAATCATTTGCGTTTCGCGGATGGTATCGTACTGATCTCAGACCGACAAGATGAAGCAAATGAAATGCTCACGAAACTGTTATCAACTTCTCAAAAAATTAAAAATCAACAACGGCGAAACCCAATTTATGACAAATCTGGTCCCTATAGCTGTAATCTTAAAACAGAAGAAAAAGAAATCCAACATGTAATATCTAGGACATGAAATTCAGATCGGCAGAGATAAACCAAGGCTGTGAGCTTACCGAAGAATAGGACTAACATGGGCTGCCTCAAGCGTAAAGTTTTTGACCAGTGCATCCTCCCAGTACTGATATACGGCTCAGAAACATTAACAGTGACACAAAAAAACGATCAACAGAATAAAAGTTACCCAACGAGCCATGGAAAGAACTATGTTGGGGGTGACGTTGCGAGACCGAATCCACAACGAAAAGAAACGTAGAAGAACTAAAGTTGCAGATGCTGTTGAGAAAATAACACACCTAAAGTGGAACTGGGCAGGCCACGTCGCAAGAATGAAAGATGATAGATGGACGAAGAAGATATTGGAGTGGCGACCTAAAGATGCTGCACAAGGAAGCCGGGGTAGACCGCCAACTCGATGGACAGATGATATCAAGAGGATATCTACAAATTGGATCCAAGATGCCCAAGACTGAGTAAGATGGATTAGGTTAAGAGAGGCCAGCAGTGGATGAGACATGACACAGTGGAAAAAGTCAATACAAGCAACTCAGCGAATGAAACCCTACAGTCCTCCCTGTATCATAGACCTTCTTTGTAAGCCAAAGACCCTAGCAGAGTGTGCTGAAACTCCCCAAGTCAATATTTCATACACCATTATGCTGTTAAATACAACAATATGGGCAGCTCTAAGTATTTCTCCTGATACACAACCTATTAGATTCCGCAAAATAAAAACACCAGTTCTAATAAGTCTTTCACACACCGCTCCGATGTGGAGTTGCCAGATTAATCTCGAATATCGATTCCAGAGGACAATTACTCTCAGGATAAATGTCATGTGTTGGGTCTTCTCAGCATTAAGTAACAGGCGATTTGAAAGAAACCTAGTCTGTACCACCTCAGGTTCCTTCAAGATTTGATTTTTTCCCTTAGCTTCCGTTTTCTCCGCTACAGCAAGGGTTGTGTCATCTGCAAAAAGCACAAAGCTAGCGTCTTCGCAGCAGAAATCATCAATAAAAATCAGGAAAAGAATTTGGCCAAGCACTGTGGTACACCAAAATCCAAAAGTGATTCCACAGTAGTCACACCATCCACCTAGACTGCCTGGTAAAGCTCAGCAAGGTATGATCGCGTCAGCTCGATACTATTTACCCTGAAGTTGTAAAAAGGTTATCAAACAAGGCATCAAAGTACTTCAGGGCCGTATCTAGGGTTGGGGGGGTTTGGGGGTTCAAACCCCCCTCCCCCAAAAATATAATAAAATTCAAAAAATTTAACTTAAAAACAAACAACACTTATTAAATACTTATTTTTATTTATTTTTTAATTACTAGTGTAACAATTTTCTTTTGTCACTTTGTCTAACCCCCCCCCCCCCCCCCCAAATTTTGGTCTAGATACGGCCCTGAAGTACTTCATACCCTCGAATGTGTCCATTATTCCTTTCAAAAGGTCCATTACTCCCTGGACTGTGCTCTTCTTGTGTCTGAATAGGAATTTTCGGTCGCTCAACAGCCCATGGGTCTCAAATAGATCCACAATATGTGTTGCCAATATCTTTTCAAAAAGTTCGGATATAACAGATAAAGAAGAATAGCTTTCTTCATTGCTCGTGTTCTCTTGGTCTTCATTTTACATTGGTTGGAACTGTTGGAAGCATTTCGTAGATTTAATCAGAATATGAAGAGCTGCAATGAAATATAGATAATGTGACCAACTGTTGATGGGAAGTAAGGTTACTGAGATGGTTTTGAAAAAGCTTTTGAGGGACTTATTGGAGACCTCATCATCTACGTTGCAATATCTATTCAAGAATTCCTGACAATTTTCCTTACATCGGAATTTATAATTTATTAGAAGCCGGATCTTTGAGTAGCTGGGTCCCATGATCTAAGGAGATTTGGATCTTTTGTAAAGGGAGCCTAGGTTGTTTTTGTGGCGCCAAATTTGCTTTGGTCTTGTTAGTGACTGCTAAATGTTCTAATTCAATTGACTTCGTTCTCCATCATTGGCTTCTTAGCATTCTTGCTCTTCTCTGTACTTACTTAAAGATAGGTTTATTTCTTGAAAGCTGCATTTGGATCTTTTTATTCCTTTTGCCGCATATTGTAGGCTTTCCTCTTCTCATTGATGACGTTCTGGATGTCTTTATTGTTTTATTTACGACTAATGTATAATGTGCGTATTATATTTGTGATTTTGGCAGTATAATGACATATGTTATTCCTCCAGGGATTAATGACGAGTAGCGGGATTAATGGTCATTATTCCACAAAAGTGTCAGTGTCAAATGTGTAGTGCTTGTGGATTTGTATTCAAAATTATGAGACGGACGAAATTTGTTCATTGAAAATCTCAAATAAATTAATTTGTCGTGAATAAAGTAGAGTATACTACTCGCAATAATGGCTATTATTCCCTCGGAATATTACTCCCTCGCCGCTAACGCGGCTCAGT